AGCTGAAGTTCACCGGTTGATATGTTCTCAATGGATTCCTGGGTGTGAGGAACAGCATGATAGGTATATTGACAATGTTTTACTATTTAGTTGCGACGGACCGGCAACACAGGCCGTCGCTTTGGTGTTAGCAAAGTACCTTTATCATGCCCACGAACAAATCATAGATTGATTCCTTTGTCACCGAGATTTCTCCACGATGACTTGTTTCACACTGCCTAAACCCAACCAGGCATGCAATACATACATAGCAATGTGTATAGTACCTCCATTAATAATATTCATTCCTATCAGAATGATAGGTTCCTAACATCTTCAATGATATACTATCTTTTCAAGGAACTAGTTGTCCAAATAATACACATGCTCTCGTGATCGATTGAGTCACTCGCATTTCAACGTCCAACACTTGTTCTGAATTTCGAACTTCTGCCCATGAATCCTCCCCATTATCTTACCTGGTTCTTCAGTCTCCTTCCTCTCTAGACGTAAGTGAATTCATCTGGCAGCTCAGTTCAGTTGGCTGTTGTTGTTCTCGTCCATGTTTACTTGTTCTCAGTTTATCACTACTTCATCTAAATGTTTACCTCTGGGTGTCAAACTAAATATTTGATTTGATTTACAAGTTGAAGCACAGACCTTGCTGTTCAATCTCGACAACTCGATCTCACCCTGCGGATACATCACGGATCAAGTGTCAGTACGCAGTCAGGGAACTCTCTGTGGGAATTGCGACTTGAAGTGTCTCTGGCACGATCGTGATATCCGGCTTACTGCGAAGCGTCAGGTATATGCTGTAGCAGTTCAACCGGTATCGCTGTATGATTCAGTGACTTCATCATTACGAAAACAAGATAAAGTTAGACTGTCGTTGTTCGAACCCCGTTGTTTACGCCGCATTCTACCATTCTATCAGAGAAACTGGACAAATAGTGCTGATGTTAGGCAACAAGTGCTAAACCTTCATCGAATACGTTCGTTTGGGCATGTGTTACCCATGTCACCAAATAGACTACCACGGCGTTCTTTATTTGCCAAGATAGGAAAAGTACAGGGTGGTCAAACTAAGATCGGACTTGAGGGTATGAAGATCCTGACTAAAAGACTTATATAAGTCACCCTGGGCTTAGTGGACAGGGAATGCGGGATCAGCGTAACTGACGGTTCAAGAGACATCGAGTGATACGGTTGATCGTCGTTCCCAGTGGCGCTTGTGTATCTACTCAATCTCCCTGTTACCTTGGTCTGCATGAATCCTCTATTTTCACTCTGATTTGATTTGGATATTCCAATCTTCCTGCTACTTCTCCATCCAAATATGCGGTCAAAAGGCAGCAACCTTAATCGCCACACAAAAGTGCATGTTTAATAGTTGGTTAAACTGAAACTGTTCAAGTTTCTTAGGTTATTTGTTTATTATTTATTGACGATGGCCGATGATCTTTGCGGTGTCCCCGCATCGGGTTTAAGACCATAATAATAAATCAATGTTTTTATACTCCCTTTTTGTTTACTTACTGTACAGCTGTACGGTGAACTTTCAGGGAGGAGGCCGCGGCCATATGAAAAGGCTGTCTGACAAAGTACAGAAATTAGGAAAGCTAAAATTGCCAAATAATTTTCCCAGTGCTATGATAGGANGGTCTTATCCTTTCCTTATCACAAACACACACTGGTCTGGTAGCTTTTCCGATTCACCAATCTCAGGCCAAATTCGTGATCTCCCCATCTCTGTGTGCTTCGTCAAATTTCACGCTTATTTTCTCACATGTTTTGATATTCAGTTCAGTTCAGTTATTACAACCATTTAGTGACCGGAACATCGATGACTCGTCTAGTTTATTTGGATTTCTGGTTTCACTTCCACACCAGCTTCAGTATTCGCATTACGGTACGGATTCATTTCGAACTACAGGCGACCAAAGCTACCATACCCTTTTTTATCCAGTGATTGTGACTGCATCCGAAGACACCTTAATGATAGACAAAAGATGCCCTAGGCCACGAAGCAGTTAGTCATCTGATTTCATTACTCTTGTACACGGAATGCTCTTATATGATGGGTTATTCTATCTATCTCACCTAGTGTAGGGGCGAGGCGAGTGGAGGTTCATCACTTAGGTAGTTCCACCAGAAATGTTTCGATCGGTTTGGCACTGCTGTTTCCATTCTGTCCCGTTACGCACTGGTTAATGGCGGATCGAAAACAGGCTCATTCATCTTGATTGACTTCCGAATGAAACTCGCATTAGTCTCTCTTACTTAGTCCCATACTCATAGTATTTCTTTCCTTCCTTAGAACTATTTCTTATTCCCGTTAGACATATCATTCCTCAATTTGTTGTTTTGAAGATTGAGGTCAAATGTTGAAATCGTGAAAAGTTCAGCAGCCTAGGTGGGAATCGAACCCATCCATGGAAGCCGCCTACGCTTTTACAGCGCACGCTCGACCAGCTGATCTACGCAGCAACACCGATAGCACTGATCTTTTGACATTCGAATCACTAACTCAGCTGGTGGAGCGTGCTTTGTACAAAAGCGTAGGCAACGTCCATGAGTTGGTTGGAATCCGATCGGGGCTTCTGAACTTTTACGGTATCAACATATCATTCCCTATTTGTTGTCTGTTCCAGAGCATCGGTTCAGTTGAATCTCTGCGTGTCGCATAAAAGTTACTCCAAAAATCGACTAGTCGTGTGCAGTTGAAGATATTCATGGAAGTTTATTCATTTTTTGCATATATTTGTTGCTTACATCCACACCTCCCCACTCATAGCTTTCAAAACAAGCGAACGGACCATCTGGTCATCCTCGCCGAACGGGACCGATTTCAGCCTCACCACTAACCTCACGAAATCCACGTGCGGGAACTAACGCGAATACACCTGCTGTCTCGACAACTTCAAGCTCCGCTAAGCCAAGTGGTCTCCGAGTCCCGTCCGCTCTCGGTGCTCACAGATCCGCGATGACCTGCCCACCGTCTGCCTCGAGCCGTTCCCTGGCTTCAAGTCGATCTGCCTCGACAACCGGTTCCATAAATAATCTTACCTCAACCACGCAAGCACATCGCGCCCAGGCCGTATCCGCACAATCCGTATGTGCTGCCTTGAACAAACGGGAACGGAGTATTGCGATCGCGAAACCAATGGTTCGACCTCAACCAACTGGTACTTCTCACACGGCTAAACCACCCTCTCTCTCGACTACCTCGATCCCGTCGAGTGTGGCCCATTCCATGACACCGATATCAACAACTAAGTCACGTATTGGGAGCGGTGGCATTCCAATGTCAAATACGGCACTCTCATCCACGCTAACCAATGGCTGCACAGTGTCCTCGGAAGCCCCTAAACCTATCCGAGGAGGTCGCAAGTCACTCACTGGTAATTGGGTCGCATTTTCATCTTTCCTCATTTGCCGGCGTTTGCTTGTACCAGAACTTGACCAGTTGTGCATCAAATATATCCAAACAAGATAGACTGAATAACAAAGAAAAACATAAATACATATTCTGTTTGTACCAGTGGTAGTAGATTGAATTGTTTATAGTTCATTCATTCCAAAAAAGTGCTCTTCTTCTGTTCAGTCACTTTCCTCGTTCAATTTCCTCGCTTCGCCTTTTTTCTCCCTTTCCTGACGCGTTTGCCGTGGCACTGTGACTGACTTTTTCTGCTTCGCATGCTCTATAGACTTTAATTGGTCCTTTGTCGTCCATGCTCATGTTCTCTCTCCCATTGTTTTCTGCCTTTTGCCCCGCCCAATA